TCCTTCCAGAAAAAAACATCTCTCACGAGCATCACGTCAATAAATGGATGGAAGAAATGCTTACAGGCTAAACAAGACGCATGTCATATTTGAACCTATAGCTGTCTCACTGGTATACGGACCAGCGACAGTTTTCGTTCTGTGCCATCATAGTGTAAAGTCTGTTTCTCTGATCTGCCGGTGATACATTCTGTCAAAGAAATCTGGCACGAGCGAACGTTGACATTGCGATACGAAAAAAGCGTATCGATATATTTATCGTTAGATGAAGTATCACGATTATCGATACTACGATATATCGTCACTAAAATCTTGAACGTTGTCACCCCGATCGAAGAACTTTTGAGCAGGATCCATATGGCTCCATGAGAAACGTTCGGGCAAGCTGGAATCTCCTGCAAAACTTGTAGACAGCACATGCTGGAGAGGCTTGAATATATCTTAACGTGAATAAGCAATATAAACAGACTATATTCCAGGTCCATTCAGTTGCAATACTTTATTTATAGATAAAATCGAGAGAACCCCTTCAACAGAAGAGCTCCTACTGCACCAGTAGATGATATATAAGTAGATAATGAAGGCCATTACCGGCTCTCATGGTCGACCAATATGCTTCGTAAATATTTTAGTGGAGATTCGTCTCTGTATCATCGACTATGTACGGCAGGAAAATCAATAACAGATCTCGCGTAAAGGTTATAAAGTGTTTGTGTGTATGTGGTGTACAATGTGTGTGTGATGTAGTGTGTTTGGTGTGTGTTGTGTGTGCATGTTTTGTATGTTAAGGGGGTATTTATTTTAACGAGTTTTATGTAGTGAATAAATACCATCGGTCGTGCCATGTTTTGAATAATGGCCTCTTGGGCTATGTCTCGTACAGTGAAGGTAGAAATGATCCCGAGTGATTGGTATTGACGTCCACAAAGGCCAGCGCATACAATAGGTACAACTAGCATGGATTCCTGCATTTGGCTTCAGGACATCGCAAGAACAGACCAGCACGTGGCGCATCACACGGGATAAGGTGTCTCGCCCGCCGCTGTGGTTAGTGCTGCCCATATTATTCCTTAGCTACAACTGTATGTGTTGAGATTATTAGGAACTTACAAGATCCGCTACGTCCTTGTGTTCATTGTTTGCTATTTATTCTCTACTGCCAGTTATTGTATCGAATGTTTGTGAGCGTTTAAGTGAGCGAGTTAGTGAGTTTAGTTTTAAGAGGCTCTTAGCAATATTCCAGCAATTTCACGGCGGGGCTTCACACATTGTAACAATGTGGGGAATCGAACACGGTTCTTCGGCGTGACAAGCGAACGTTTTAACACCTAGGCAACCCGATCGCCTCTCTCTTAAGAGCACCATTGCATTACACGACTATGCGTGGGAGAATAAGCCTGATAGCATATTTACTGTATCATTTGGAGTTTATACGCTGCATTTGGTTACATGTAACTGGGAAAATCCTTGGTGATATCAATGGATTTAACCACCTTGTAAACTGTTCATATTCACTTACCACACGATCCTCTTCCCTAGGTATATTTCATATTTTTTGGTGATTTCGTATTTGATCTGTGGTTGTTCAAATATATACACAAAGATCTTTGTTACGCACCCCCTGACATATCTCACGATTGAATGATTCAGTAACTGATTAAATGAAAGACTGAGTAATCTCACGTGACAGAGATATGTCCACAACGTTCAGAACGTTAGTCCATTGTCAACGATTTCACCTGATACCAGTAACCAACTGACTGTTCAACCACCCCTTATACCAGTAACCAACTGACTGTTAAACCACCCCTTATACCAGTAACCAACTGACTGTTCAACCACCCCTTATGCCAGTAACCAACTGACTGTTCAACCACCCTTTATGCCAGTAACCAACTGACTGTTCAAACACCCCTTATACCAGTAACCAACTGACTGTTCAACCACCCAATATGCCAGCAACCAAATGACTGTTCAACCAACCCTTATGCCAGTAACCAACTGACTGTTCAACCACCCAATATGCCAGCAACCAAATGACTGTTCAACCAACCCTTATACCAGTAACCAACTGACTGTTCAAACACCCCTTATACCAGTAACCAACTGACTGTTCAACCACCCAATATGCCAGCAACCAAATGACTGTTCAACCAACCCTTATGCCAGTAACCAACTGACTGTTAAACCACCCCTTATACCAGTAACCAACTGACTGTTCAACCACCCAATATGCCAGCAACCAAATGACTGTTCAACCACCCCTTATGCCAGTAACCAACTGACTGTTAAACCACCCCTTATACCAGTAACCAACTGACTGTTCAAACACCCCTTATACCAGTAACCAACTGACTGTTCAACCACCCAATATGCCAGCAACCAAATGACTGTTCAACCAACCCTTATGCCAGTAACCAACTGACTGTTCAACCACCCAATATGCCAGCAACCAAATGACTGTTCAACCAACCCTTATGCCAGTAACCAACTGACTGTTCAACCACCCAATATGCCAGTAACCAGCTGACTGTTCAACCAACCCTTATGCCAGTAACCAACTGACTGTTCAACCACCCAATATGCCAGTAACTAACTGTCTGTTAAACCACCCCTTATGCCAGTAACCAACTGACTGCTTAACCGGCCCTTATGCCAGTAACCAACTGACTGTTCAACCATCCCTTATACCAGTTACCAACTGACTGTTCAACCAACCCTTATGCCAGTAACCAGCTGTCTGTTCAAACACCCCTTATACCAGTAACCAACTGACTGTTCAACCACCCTTTATGCCAGTAACCAACTGACTGTTCAACCACCCCTTATGCCAGTAACCAACTGACTGTTCAACCAATCCTTATGCCAGTAACCAACTGACTGTTCAACCCCCCTTTATGCCAGTAACCAACTGACTGTTCAACCACCCCTTATGCCAGTAACCAACTGACTGTTCAACCACCCCTTATACCAGTTACCAACTGACTGTTCAACCAACCCTTATGCCAGTAACCAACTGACTGTTCAACCACCCAATATGCCAGTAACCAACTGACTGTTCAACCAACCCTTATACCAGTAACCAACTGACTGTTCAACCACCCAATATGCCAGTAACCAACTGACTGTTCAACCACCCCTTATGCCAGTAACCAACTGACTGTTCAACCAACCCTTATGCCAGTAACCAACTGACTGTTCAACCACCCAATATGCCAGTAACTATCTGACTGTTAAACCACCCCTTATGCCAGTAACCAACTGACTGCTTAACCGGCCCTTATGCCAGTAACCAACTGACTGTTCAACCACCCAATATGCCAGTAACTAACTGACTGTTAAACCACCCCTTATGCCAGTAACCAACTGACTGCTTAACCGGCCCTTATGCCAGTAACCAACTGACTGTTCAACCACCCCTTATACCAGTTACCAACTGACTGTTCAACCAACCCTTATGCCAGTAACCAGCTGTCTGTTCAAACACCCCTTATACCAGTAACCAACTGACTGTTCAACCACCCTTTATGCCAGTAACCAACTGACTGTTCAACCACCCCTTATGCCAGTAACCAACTGACTGTTCAACCAATCCTTATGCCAGTAACCAACTGACTGTTCAACCACCCTTTATGCCAGTAACCAACTGACTGTTCAACCACCCCTTATGCCAGTAACCAACTGACTATTATACCACTCCTTATGCCAGTAACCAACTGACTGTTCAACCAATCCTTATGCCAGTAACCAACTGACTGTTGAACCACCCTTATGCCAGTAACCAACTGTCTGTTCAACCACCCCTTATGCCAGTAGCCAACTGACTGTTCAACCTTCCCTTTATGTCAGTAACCAACTGACTGTTCAAACACCCCTTATGCCAGTAACCAACTGACTGTTCAACCATCCCTTATGCCAGTAATGAACTGACTGTTATGCCACTCCTTATGCCAGTAACCAACTGACTGTTCAACCTACCCTTTATGCCAGTAATCAATTGACTGTTCAAACACCCCTTATGCCAGTAACCAACTGAGTGTTCAACCACCCCTTATACCAGTAATCAATTGATTGTTCATCCACCCCATATACCAGTGTTCAACCAACCCTTATGCCAGTAATGAACTGACTTTTCAACCACCCCGTGTGCCAGTAACCAATTGACTGTTCAACCATCCCATATGCCAGTAACCAACTGACCGTTCAACCACCCCTTATGCCAGTAACCAACTGACAATTCAACCTACCCTTTATGCCAGTAATCAATTGACTTTTCAACCACCCCTTGTGCCAGTAACCAATGGACTGTTCACCCATCCCTTTATGGCAGTAGTCAATTGACTGTTCAACCACCCCTTACGCCAGTAACCAATTGAGTGTTCAACCACCCCTTATACCAGTAATCAATTGATTGTTCATCCACCCCATATACCAGTAATCTATAGACTGTTCAAACACCCCTTATGCCAGTAATGATTTGAAAGTCCAACCACCTCTTGTGCCAGCAATCAGTGGACTGTTCAACCACCATCATGTTTCATGTGTTTTGTGTTGATAAATAACTGAAAATGGTTATTTATATGTGATTACTTTGATTACTATAAATGTGGTCTTTGATCACAAAATTTTCAGGCAAGACTACATGACTCTTCAAGATAGTGCCAACAGAAGACGTACCAAGCCTATATACCTTAAATACTCATGTTATTTTCGAGCTAATACCTCAAGGATGAACTTGACCTTGACCTTGACCTGGGTACAAATGATATAAGAACTACATGCCTAAGCGGTACAGTAAATGTATGCAGGAAAATAGAAAAATCATTTTATAGAATTGGCATACATGCTAAATGTCTTAATGTTATGTCCGATTTTGAACAGTGGCCGATCGTATATCCTTCTCGAGTTAATAAATAAACTTATTCTCAGGCTATGGATGATGTACATACCTTCAATTTCATCAAAACACGTGCAATGCATAAATCTCACGAAAACCGTGATATCGTAAAGTCAGATTTAATGTCTATGGCATAATAAACTACAAGGTAACGTTCCAGGTAATTTTAGTTGGAGCTGATGTACACATTTGTTTCTATTGACCAGCCTGGCAAACCAATGAATCTGTAACGCAGAATACCAGGTTTATTCAAATACTATATACCTTTATAATATTTCTTCACTGAGCTACAATACCATCGATTATCAAAATACATAATTACGACTCTGATGATACAAGCTATATATTCATAATACAGTAAGCTGCGTTTATAACACGTTATACCTTATAACACTAAAAAAGACCACTCATTTCAGTTTGTTGAAACCGTATTTCTTTAAAGGCGTCTTCGTTATAAAAGTGGTTTACAGTATACATGGTATTCGTGATACTGAAACACTGTCAGCTATAGTTTCTGTTTATGGCGGTGTTCCAAATTTGAGAAATATGATAAAACATGGACATTGTACTGGTTCTGTGTTCCTTGTTCAAGGTACGACACATTGGACTTTCAAAGACGCTCACGCCGACTGTAAAGCCTCATCGTACAGCAAACCTGTTGGAAACAGAAAACAATCATTTAACATAAGCCTGAATGAATATAGTTTTATGATACCTTTTGTAATTCTCCAGACTAATGGCAACGGAAGAAGGCAACAAATGGCTCCAAACATTGTACCCATGTAGGGAATCGGACGTCCTAACAACCAGACTACACCAAGGTCATAAACATAGTCAAGTCAGTTTAATATGTACAAATTACATATACACTGTGTTAGGGTAAAGTCTCTCACGAGAGTTCGAATACCTACATATCTAACCATATACTGTGACACCCGTAATGGTGCAATTGGAACTCATTACGCCTAGACAAGCTTTGAGCGAAAAGATTTTATACTATTTGCCAAGCATACTTTGAATTTAATGTCTAAAATTTTGAAGGCAAATAATACGTTTTTTTTAATCCACTAACGGTACCGAAAATAGCCCAGAACCTTATATATCTCGGCCACTTCTACTTCTCACTCGAGTAGCCTAGTGGTTATCGGTCGTTGCGCTGGAGACCCAGGTTTGATTCCCCGCATGGGTACAATTTCTGGTGTACCCCCGCCGTGGTATTGCTGGAATATTGCTTAAAACTAAACTCACTCACTCACACTACTCGCTCACCTGCGATGCATGCTGTCATAAAGCAGGCCATCTGCCCAGTGATGTTTGCCCTCAGTACATATTTTGTGATGGTGGTCCTCCGTTCGGGGCACAGCGCGATCAGCGTTCCCATGGCAACACCAACTGCCCCTATGTGGTTGAGCCCACATAAGGCATACGTACCAAGCACCTCAGAACGTTTCTGAAATACAATGGAAGAATTAGAGTCTAGGAATTAGACATACGGATATGGGTGGCAGTCACTCGTGTGCATGTCATTTGAGACTATTTACAATACTGCATTTACATTCGCAGAATTCACATATGTGTCGGTTGTCTGCACTCAGCACTATTCCACAGGGGCTTGTAACGAAACAAAAACTGGCATGAGGTATATACAGAGACAGAGTCTTGACACTTAATAAAAGTAAAGGGTGTAACGAGGTCAACAAACCAAGTTCGTTTCGGGGCGAATTCAACAATGCCCACTGTATATACCCGATGAAATTATTTCGCATTTCAAGCCCTACAAAATGAGACAATCAGCACAAAAATCAAAGTAGTACTTTGGAAGCTAGGGTCTTCGGAGCTCGATAAGTCGTGATTTCCCGATTGCGAGCTAAAATCCCTGCTCAGAATCTGTGCTAATAACTTACCAATATTCTTGTTCATTTCACCGTATACACAAACATCATGCACTAAAACATGCTGAATTGATGGCACCTGTCAGCGCACTAGTCGCCATGGTTTCGGAGACACTTACACCTAACTGTCATAATAATTTTACATTGTCTATTCATCGCAAACAGGCCGGTGTTGCGCCCGTTTGCCATTGATGACCATGGCGATCTGATGGGACAACTTTCAGTTTTAACCAATCAGGTCGCTCGCTCTTTTCAGTGAGACCAAGGTTGTCAATAGCGAACGGGCACGACACAGGCCTTTTGGTGAACACGAAGAGCACTTCAGTCTTTATTTAACAAATAGTAACACAAACTTGACAGTTTGAAATATTCCTTTACATTCAAGCAATAGGGATATAGTTGTAACTGGGGAACTGCAGATTGGGTCTTTTTCTACCACGCAGTCATAGAGTAGATTTCACGGACTGAAGGCTACACAACGTCGATAACATACCCGGGCTCTTAAGCAGTACTTTGTTGTCATATGCTTCCAAGCTGCATTTTACGACTGTCTGGACATGTTGGTGAGTTTAATCCACCAATTTACTGTCCTAGTCATATATTTCTGCGCATGTCCTTTGGTGATTGATGTGACCGATGTGACCCTGACATTGAACGAGGAGCAGGCTTTCTCCGGATCCTGCATTAATGACCTTGTTAAGGGGCGACAGTACTTTAGCTGAGACATCGAACATTTTTCTGGCCGATTGATGCGGTTGTTGTACTTAAAACCCGTCAAAAAACATTTAACACCACGAGCGATTGTGGAACTGATTTAACAAGTAACACAGCAAGTCTTAATGCTGTAAATATACTTACGAAACAAATAGCAGAACTAAAGTAGGACATTGCTCCCTTATACGCTAATACTCGCTTAGGAAACATCTGAGAGAGTCCAAGCGATAGTAAAGTTGATGAAACAAATAACAGCGAGTCTTCACGCTCGAAATAAACTTATATTATTACGAAACATATATCAGAACTGAATTGCCTCTTTACAATGTGATTCGACGATCTCATTATATGAAAAAAGTAACAGCGGGTCTTAATACTGTAACTAAACTTACGAAACAAATATCTGTACTGAAATAGAGCATTGCTTCTTAACACTCTGGTATGACTCATTAGATAGACACTGGTTTAGGAAACATCTGACAGTCCAACAAGTTAAAGGGAAGGGAATGGGCATGACAAAACCCGATGGTGATAGTGAGTGAGTTTAGTTTTACGACGCACTCAGCAATATTCCAGCTATATGGTTTGGTTTCAACCAAACCATCACATGTCTAATACTTCAAACATAAAGTGTGACACAGCTAATGGTTTGAAATATGATGACACCTTCAACTATCAAGGCTAACTTCGCCTTGACAGATGGTGTAGAAACTGAAATGGTTGTGGTGGGTAACTTGACAAGGCGCCAGTAGTGTCACATGGTTTTACAGGCAGAGCGGGGGCTCCTACATAGCTACTCATCTCAAATTCACTACGCTGCGGATAAAAACAACAACAACAGCAAATGTATCCGAAAACTTAAAATTACCATGGAACCCAAAGTGGGAGACAGATAAGTGTTTGTCTGCTTGTTTGTTAGCAATATTCCAGCTACATGTAGTTGTATTTACTTTTGTTTGGAGAACGGTATCCACAGGATGATTTTCAAGGCGCTTCAATGTTTGCACAGTGACGTTAAAAGTATCGGCATCACTGAACGGGGAAGAAACGTGTGTTTGACTGTTCTACCAGTGTTAGACAAGGGTGTCCACTTAGACATATCTCTTTCTCGACATTTCTCGAAAACAGTCTTGAATATTTATATTCCTTTCCAGTTAATTGAATTTAATGCTATATATAGCATCCGAGCACTCCTGTTTGCAGATGTTATTAATTTGGACATGGAAATACATCTACAAGACAAGTCCAGATACTAACCTCAAGAATTCCACCGACCAATGTTACATTGGTTGCGTCTAATATTACATTGCCATCTTGCCAATGCCAGGTACCGTTATTGAACCAGCTGATATTGCTCAAGATCCTTCCTGTTGATGACCAGCCTGCCAAACTCCATAAATCCAACAAAGAATTGGCAAAGATTTTGATGCCCATCAGTTCGCCTATCTTGAAGAGGTCGACCTTGGGAAGCCCATTATGTACGCCAGCGGATAGAACATGTAGGAACAGAGCTGTGGTAAAGAGAAGAGGTCATCGAAACAGTAAGGTGACATTAGGGACTGCGGAACAATTCTTCACATTGTTTTACTTTGTATACGATTCATGGATTGATTGATTGATTGATTTTGTGTTTAACAACACAGTCAGCAATATTCCAGCTATATGGTGACGGTCAGTAAATAATCGAGCCTGGGCCAGACAATTTAGTGATTAACATCATGAGCATCGACATACGCAGTTGGGATACGATGACATGTGTCAACCATGTCAGCGTGAATGACCACCCGTTAATTTGCATACGAGCAAAAAGTAGAATCACTTCCTTTCAAATAATATTTACTATTTAGCTCTGACTTTACTCTGCTGTATACGTATAGAAACATATACGATATGGACACATTCAGCTTTTTTTGGAACAATTTATCAAATTTACCAAACTCAAGAATGTCGTGTAATTTATTTCCAATTTTATTTCATTAATAAGCTTATAAACAAACGTTGCTATGACACGCTTTTCGACTCAATGAAAACTTGAGAACTGAACTATGTTTGGATTCACGGACGAAATTGAAATAATGTCAACATTTAAAGATGTGGTATATATTTCAGGATATTGTGACAGTTGAAAGGTAAAGTGTTTCAGTTCCCAAGTTCATACGAAATGTATTGATCTCATCACGATAACAAGTTCAGGTTTGCGTCGATCACAATCGACGAAGGTGTATAACTTAACAAAGTTGAATTAGACAATCCAGTGACAGACATCATGAGCATCGATCTACCACCGTTCACTTTAGTTGCCTTTTACGACAAACGCTGGTTGCTGAAAGTGTACTCTTATAATCAGAACGCATAAATGATTCGCCAATGCTATACGTCATCCCACTACGTCAGCTCCACAAAAGGAGGTACACATACCGAGAACGTGACGCCTTCCACTCCCACCCTGTGCCCAAACCATTGAAATGCGGTGTCTATAAATTCAATAGCGGCGATGAAGACGATCTGGTTGACAACGACGGTGGACGCCAGTGTGATGCCATCAACAGCGCCGATAGATATTGCTTCCAATACGCTCTGAAATTTCCTGAAAGATATATCAAGACACTCTTGTGAACATATTATATAAAAATATAAACATATGATAATGTGAGAATGTGTTGCGATAAAGTGAGTTTAACTTCCTCCATCGGTGTGTATCGGACATCATTTGTCACAGACACTTCACATCCTGCCATTAAACATTGTGAACGCTTTATCACAACCTTGAATATGTACATTTCAAATTATTTAGATTTGGGAGCGTGTGGAGAAATTGTAACGTGAATATGCAATATGTTATGTCGAACACTTGTGTTTAGTGGTGACTTATAAATTCTTGGGAAAAAATGAACAATCATCAGGTTTGTCAGGGTTCTCGATGTGACCAAGCACATTGTTTGACATAAAATTACACCACTGCTACCCTTGTATGTCTGCATTGGACAAAGCGGCTGTTGGGTCTACTGGCATGTTTAATGATAGTCCAGACCATGTCTAGTGTAATCGATTCTTACTTACGCCATTGTTATATTGTAAGCATCTTCAGGTTTGACCCTAGTCCGTCGTGTCTCCGGCATGGTCAGTTTCGCCATTGCGAGGGCGGCGGGGGGCAGACATCACAGACGCTGTGAGGAGGTGGTTGGCAGGAGCCTGCAGAGGGATGCTTACAACATGTAACACCATACAGAATCCCCTATCTAAGGAGCACATACATACAGCCAGCAGTATTCTGTACCATCTAAAGTCAGTGGGTTTTTTTTGTACATGTTTGTAAACACCAACACCATAGGTGTCAAATTTTGAAGACAGTGCGATGACAGGCGACAGACAAATCAGGTCTTGAATGGCATTTAGAAGTAATAGACTTCTTTATTATGAGGACATAACGTTTCAGAGCATATCCTTACTCCTTCATCGCTCGAAGAAGTAAGGATATACTCCCGAAATGGTGTGTTCCTCATGATAAAGAAGTTGACATCCATAAAAACTATCTTCGATAGAGTGAGTGAGTGAGTTTGGTTTTACGCCGCTTTTAGCAATATTCCAGCAATATCACGGCGGAACACCAGAAATGAGCTTCACACAATGTACCCATGTGGGGATTCGAACCCGGGTCTTCGGCGTGACGAGCGAACGCTTTAACCACTAGGCTACCCTACCGCCGCTCTCTTTGATAGGCAACTCACCCACTGGTCATTGACATGATATTCGTATTTGTTTAAGACCTGAGTAATTCGGGGATCCATCTCTGAGCAAATATAGAACATCGATTGTGTTAATTCTGATATTGTCCTTTTGATGATTTCAGTGACTTAAGTGTCAATATCATTAGGTATCAACAAACGGCTGTACAGATAATTAGAAGAATGTATTTTGTAACTATGGTTATTAATGTTCGTTTTGTTATAAACCAAGAAGCAAGCTAAGTGAAAGTATACATTACATACGTGAATAGATACTTTTGACACAGACACATTGAGGAAGCAGCAAAGTTATAAGCAGTGAGATACAAATGAATGTTATTGGAACTCTCCGTTCTGGCAGTGGTGCAGACACGTCGTACTTCCCAATAGAGGAAGGAAGGTGAGGTGAGGTGAAATTGGGTTTTACGTCGTGCTTGAGAATATTTCGCTCATATGACGACGTGCATGCGTGTGTGTGTGTGTATGTGCGGCTGCTTGTACTAGCCCAGACTGAAGCTGGTTTTATAGTGCTAGCCCACTGAGATACCATGCCGCAGTGAAGCATGAATACCCCACTCAGACACATTATACTGACTCCGATCCGACCAGTCCGTATTGTACCCATTAATGCCGAGCGCTAGACAGGGACCAACAACTACCAAATTTTAACGTCTTTCGGTATGACGCGGACGGGGATCGAACCCGCGACCTTCCACTCCCCGGGCGGACGCTCTAACCACTACACCACGGAGGCGGTCAATAGAGGAAGGGAATATACCCTGGATGTTGCTAGAAAAATCGACAAAATGGCGTGTCAAACTAGGTGCTAGAGAACATTGGGGTCATAACAGATTGGGGTAGACTGTGTCATGTTAGTGTCACGAGATGGGGTGTCAGATTGGATGTAGGAGACTAGATTCGTGTATCAGATTAGACAGGGTAGACTAGATAGGGGTGGGGTGTGTGAGATTAGATAGGATAGACTATCACGCCTCTAACTCTACCACATAAAGAAACTGTGCATTGTCAAAATATTATCCCAGTTGATAAGTACGGTAACAATGTCAAAGGTACATATAACTTTAATGGAGGGATCATGAGACCATAACAAGTCAGGAGAATTTCAATTGAAAAGTCAATCACAATGACGTTACGAGTCCATAAGCGGGACAGGGTCAAACGACCATGTCACAAGCTCAATAACGGGTGTGTCCACCATCGGCATTGAGAACAGCAGTGCATCGACGACGCATAGAGCCTATCAAACGTGCAAGAGGAAGGCTTGTGGGATGTCACGCCAGATTCTCTCAAGTTCTGTTGCAAGGTCAAGGACGTTATCTGGCGGATGAGGAAGACGGCGTAGACGTCGATCCATCTCGTCCCAAACATGCTCTATCGGGGAGAGATCCGGTGAATTTGCAGGCCAAGGCAGTAAGTCAACGTTGTGGTGTTGCAAAGAAATCCATAGCAACCCTTGCCCGTATGAGGGCGGGCATTGTCCTGTTGGAATGTTAACCCAGGGCCATGACGTTGCAGAAAAGGAATTGCCACAGGTCGAAGAATCTGATCCCTGTAGCCCACACCAGTTAAGTTGACCTGAACAATCACCAAAGGAGTTCTTTGGCGTGCTGTTATTCCACCCCAAATCATCACGGAACCACCACCAAAGCGATTCCTCTCCAAGACACAGGCCTGTGCATAACGTTCTCCCACGCGTCTATAGGCACGTTGACGTCCATCACTATGGGAAATGTTAAACCTGGACTCATCTGTAAAAACAACATTTCTCCACCAAAACAAGGGTCTGCGGACATGATTTCGGCACCACATTCTGCGAGCTTGTCGATGACGTTGTGTCAGGATAGGCCGTATGGCGGGACGTCGTGGTCTGATCCCGTGATGACGTAAACGTTGTCGAACTGTGTTGGGGTGGATACGACGAAGTCCTGGGATGGTTCGGGCAGTCATCACTGCAGTCTGAAACCTGTGGCGAAGATGGGTCACCCTTATCCATCTGTCCTGTCTTGGCGTTGTTACACGTGGACGTCCAGAACGTGGCCGATCGATGACGTCATTTGTGTTCTGGTAGCGTCTCACCAGTGCAGAAATGGTGTTCCGGTGGCAGTGGAAATGTGCAGCCACTTGTCGTTGAGACATTCCCCACGGACCATCCCAATGGCCTCATGACGTTGTGCAGACGTGAGCCTTGGCATGCTATGCGTTTCAATAGCCGTTTAATTTTTTGAACGATCGCAAGGGCAGGGGTTGAGCTTTCCAAAGTGACAGTATTGTGTGGCATTCATTTGCTCTGTTTCTCTTTCCCGGAATGCACGTGCAACAACGTATTGCACGTCTCAAGGACGAACCCACTGATGTCACGGAACGTGGCACGTGCATGCATGTTGGATACATGTCACTAATCTCTGAGTTTAAATCCTTATGTGTCTACACAGGTTTGATAAATTTAGATTTTAAATTTTTGTATGCACAGTTTCTTTATGTGCCTAGTATATATTCAACTATGATGGTTCTTGAAGATATTGCTAACTCTTTCTTAACATACTTATATCCAAGGTCTATGCACTGCATTAATGACACCATGACCATCTGCATAGCTACGACATCTTTAGGATGGAGGCCATCATAGTACTAGTTTTCACCTTCTTCATTAAAGAATACCTTCGACGTTACCTTAACATATAACCTACATATAACCTGATTGTATAAGTGTCCTTTATAAACGCACCCTTCAATCATTAACACTTTTACGGTTGTTACCCAGAACGTACCACCCTGTACTCAAATATTGACAGCACAGTTACATAGATTGTGGAAAGGGGGCCTGTATTACTTGGTCATCCATGAATCAAAGTTTTTCGATAATACTATTGCAAACTTATGTATGAGTAACACGTTTGTCTGAAAATAGCTGAAGGGGTAAATCATTTTATATACAGGCTATGTTAAACACATCCTATGAAAGATATAACGAATTGACTGATATCTCTAAAGAACGCTTGGGAAGTGTTGAAAGTACTGTTAGTACTTACGGGACCAAGAAACATGTTGAAGGCAGCGTTGACAGATTCAACAGCGCTCGTACCCATACAGAAGAAGAGGAACTTTCCGAAGTTCTTGACAATAACTGGAGCACCCCGTAGTGGTACAGCATGTTGACTGTGGAACTCATGAAAATAATCAGTGGCATTGTCTGGAAGGATAAATCCAATAGTGTTATTACCTCTTTGGGGGAACACGTACGATTTAAACTATAGGTATCTGACCACAATATCTGATAAATGCATATACTAAGTTAAAAGGTACTAAATGGTTCTAAAACTTTCTGTATCGATTCATTTTTTTTAAATGATCATTTGATTTACGTTCCGAATATTTAAAATTGCTTTCAAGTTCGTTTAATATAATCTCTCGACCTTGAGAGAATGTTTTTTGGCATTCCAATGATCATTATGATGCAAATATCGACCAAGTTTCTTAAGATCACATATTTGCTTGGTTGCTATTTATTATAGTTTATTCACTTATTAATAGTCACTTATTAAATACATATACATATAAAACAATACCAATTTCAATTGCATGATTTGGGCAGAACAATCACCTTACCACTGAGTGAAATGAGCAATCTGGTTGCCCATATTGTGAAATATTTGGAAAATTATGATTCATTTTCACCTATTGCCCAATTAACGCAATGAGCGGGTGTTTGTTCGCACACTGCATGCAATTAGCAGGCTGTATTGCATATTGCACGCATTGGGAAAACAGCCTGCCCAAAGCACGCAATGGGCAGTTGCACAGATTGGGTATTACATATCGTCCATTTGGATGGCAGTGATGGGGCAACTATTCCTGACAACATGAGAACCAACGCACCACAAACACAAACTGGTGATCTCTGAAGCTGTCCCCAAACACAAACTGAGAACCTTTGTCTGTGTGTCTCATGTATTCTTCAAGCCTCTCTCCAACCAGTTGAAAACGCTGTATCCAAATCTCGACCGGAGGATGAACAGCGCAAACAGAAACTGTGTTGTAATGCCCCAGAACACTGCATGCCAGTTGACCTGTAGGAAATGAGGGATTTCTGAATACGAATCTGGTTTGCTTTCCAGAACTGATTATATATTTTTCCGCATTCCGTGTGTATAAGAAGGTTATCGATTTAGTGAAAGCCATGATCCCAATCATGGATATTGTTGTGACAAGGAATAATGATTATAGTGGATGCGAGATTCAAACCGCGACCTAAGGTTCCAGGCATGTCAAGGGTAACTCAGCTCATTTACGTCTAACGCATTACATAAGGACAACACTCATTGACTGTATTAAATGATGTAATTATCATAAACCTAATGTATAATCTTATTATCAGATCTTCACCAGAAGATCCGGGTTACAGTTGGTCTTCAGCAAAATATGCTTATCGTAAGAGTCGACAAATGGGATCGGGTGGTCAGACTTCATATCTTTGTATACCAGGGTGCCGTTGTACAAAGCGATCTTAGCACTAAGGTGACCGTAACTCCCATACATTAACATAGACTTACGACAGTCTTAGCACTAAGGTGACCGTAACTCCCATACATTAACATAGACTTACGACAGTCTTAGCGCTAAGGTGACCGTAACTCCCATACCTTAACATAGACTTACGACAGTCTTAGCACTAAGGTGACCGTAACTCCCATACATTAACATAGACTTACGACAGTCTTAGCGCTAAGGTGACCGTAACTCCCATACATTAACATAGACTTACGACAGTCTTAGCGCTAAGGTGACCGTAACTCCCATACCTTAACATAGACTTACGACAGTCTTAGCACTAAGGTGACCGTAACTCCCATACATTAACATAGACTTACGACAGTCTTAGCACTAAGGTGACCGTAACTCCCATACATTAACATAGACTTACGACAGTCTTAGCACTAAGGTGACCGTAACTCCCATACCTTAACATAGACTTACGACAGTCTTAGCACTAAGGTGACCGTAACTCCCATACATTAACATAGACTTACGACAGTCTTAGCACTAAGGTGACCGTAACTCCCATACATTAACATAGACTTACGACAGTCTTAGCGCTAAGGTGACCGTAACTCCCATACCTTAACATAGACTTACGACAGTCTTAGCACTAAGGTGACCGTAACTCCCATACATTAACATAGACTTACGACAGTCTTAGCACTAAGGTGACCGTAACTCCCATACCTTAACATAGACTTACGACAGTCTTAGCACTAAGGTGACCGTAACTCCCATACATTAACATAGACTTACGACAGTCTTAGCACTAAGGTGACCGTAACTCCATACATTAACATAGACTTACGACAGTCTTAGCGCTAAGGTGACCGTAACTCCCATACCTTAACATAGACTTACGACAGTCTTAGCGCTAAGGTGACCGTAACTCCCATACATTAACATAGACTTAAGGTAACCTTAGCGCTAAAGGTTGTTTTGAACAACAGCACCCTGATCTGTAGTATATTGCTCATAATCGATCTTAAGCGAATATAACTGGAATATTGTTTAATGCGGCGTTAAGGAAGGAAAACAAACTAATATCACCAGGTCTGGGCGTTTGGAGAATATGTAACCGATAACTATGAAGAAGACCAGTCCTGCGAGGGAGAGTGAAGTTCTTTGGACTTGTTTGTAGAATGGTTAGACACAGGTACGTGATAATGAACAAGAGTATCGACAAGTACAGGAACCTGGAAACAGCAAACGGACGTAATAAAGTATCTTATAGCTAAAATACATGGAATTATCATGAAACGGCTCTCCTGTTATCAGAAATTTGCGGTCCGCTGCAAATGATATTGGACCGCTCAACCTTAACGACGGGCCACTATCAGTTCTGTTGTCAAGTGACGTCATAGTTCGACATTAGTGGCTTTCGACTGGCAGATATTCTGGGTCAAACAAGTCAAAGCAACCCAAATTCCCGCTTTAAAAGCGGTAATTTTGGCTTTCTTGTTGGTGCTAACCTTAACAATTGCACTATTAAGACTGTTGATGGACCAAAACCGAACACTGTCATAGCTTGACATGTTGCAGGCTATGGTCTTGTCAAAGGCCAAAGGTCGAATATCGTCACTTTCTGTTGTGACGTCACTTGAATTGTTCGATGACGTAATTGCATTCGGGCAGTCAACCCCGTCGAAGTTGATTTGGGTAAACTTACAGTCAAATTCCTTCATTGTTTCCTTTTTCTTTTCAACACAAATTCCATGTATTTTAGCAATAATAACGGTAATGCTATTTTTGAGGGGCATTATCATTTGCAGAAGCCCTCGGTCTTTATCAACTGCCCTCCTTCGTCGGGCGGTTAATGGAAGACCTCGGGCTTCTGCAAATGGCTAATACCCTCAAAATAACATTATTATATATACATTGTTGTAATAACTAAATACCATATGCCAGCAATTACATAGTGATAAACACAATATCTTCACGAAATAATTAATTGAATGTGTCCAATCGACATTCAGCATGTCAAGTGTCATATTTAGATATTTAGGAGGCTGGGGTGGGGTTGGAATGACGACTGGGGACAAATTGTTGTTGTTTTATCAGGCTCGAGAAAGAGATATTCTCTAAAAACCAGGATAAAAGGTGTGTGCCGATTTTCATATCTAAACAACAATAATAAAGGGATTTCGTGTTACGAAAACTTTGATTTTTATCAATTTATAAAGAATATAAAATGTTCAACAACAAAACCAGAAGTGCAGTAAAACAAAATACAAGTAGGGATAATGACTTCATCAAAGACAAAATCTTACCATCTGATTCCTTTTCGAGATTATTGGCCTTCTCAGGGTCTGGCATCACCACAACCTTCTCTGATCTTCTGGAAGATTTTCCGCTGAAGTTGCTGTAGCCAACAAGAAACAAAACAAAACACATTACCCCAGACAAGCCACGACGAGAGCCTTCATCCCCAAACGAGTAGTCTATGCAGAAGCCAAGATACACCAGGTAGAGCCAACTAATGTAACCCAGACCCAACAACGCGACCGATAATAGTCTTGTGTTCATTCAGTTTGTGTACGATTGCTGTTCTTGTTTGAGCCACTCTTCCTCCACACTTCAAATGAGTACTCTCGAAACTCCTCCTCGTCTTCTCTCTCTTCTGCTCTTTCCTCCTCCTCGACTGACAGGTCATTTAAATAATGTCAGAAGTCCATTCTCCTCAGAAGTCTTCTTTGTCAGCCTTAATTAAAAATGGAGATTGAGATAACTTATTTTCCTCATGTCCGTGAATTATGCATGTCCGGTTCATCAGAATGGATCTTAAAATAATTATCTGGATAAATAACTCCCTACATATAAGTCTCATGACTATCAGGACAATGATGTGCAGCTGATGAATCAGGAGCCAACGCACCCATGAAGATCCGGGTTAAAATTGATCCTCAGCAACCCATGCTTGTTGAAGAGTCGACTAACGCGATCAAGTAGCCAGGTTCGCTGACTTGGTTGACTCACATCACCGTATGCAAATTGCGTTGATCGACGCTCATGTTGATGATCACTGAATTGTCTGGTCGGGACTCGACCATTTACAGAGCGCCACCATATAGGCTGCAATACTGTTGGAGTGCTGCGTTAAACAACAAGCCAACAAACAGGCATAACAGCCAAAGTGCAGATTTGTTAGTTTTCTTGTTTAACGGGGCGGTGGGGTAGCCTAGTGGTTAAAGCGTTGGCTCGTCACGCCGAAGACCCGGAGTTCTAATCCCCACATGGGTACAATGTGAAGCCCATTTCTGGTGTCCCCCGCCGTGATGTTGCTGGAATATTGCTAAAAGCGGCGTAAAACCAAACTCCAGTCAGTCTTGTTTAACTCAACTATACTCAAGTTGTGTGACAGCGGTGTGTGAATAATCGAGTCTAAATCACACAGTCAGTGAGCAACAGCATGAGTATTGATGCCAGCACCTAAGATGCAAAAATATGCAGCAACCAAGTCAGTCCAGCCTACTTCTCTTTCGAGAACCATTGGTTGCCAAAGAACCGAAAACTTCATGGGCCGCCAACATACACACAATCTAATAATCAGCTTCATTGTGTACCATTGAAACCAATACCTCATTTCAAAGTGAATCAATAGTCTTGATCTGACTAACTGAACTTTAATCATGGTAGAAACAAGTCTACATACGTCTGACTTTCCAGATTCTACAAGAGCAAAGGCCCCGCAGTTCTCTTTGAGTACACCATTCTCAGTTGACATCTTCAAATATAGCGGACCCTGTGACAAAAAAAAACAACATGTCATGAACAGAAAGACATGATGTTATTGTATTTCGTAAAGATATGTAGTGAGTGAGTGAGTGAGTTAAGATTTAAAGTAGTAAAGATATGTAAGCTTTATACAGAGCAGTTAAGAGACAGGGACGAATAGGTTCGGTGACTTCGGGTAACTTCTCCACGGGGTTAAAGATCGACTTGTGAGCAAGCACGTAGCCACGGATGAAGTAAAAAGGATCGTCAAACCGTCAAGACCGAGGATGACCAGTGACCGCGATGACCGGGACGCAGTTCGCCTGGCAAGACACAATCCCATGACCCATGACGAAGAACTGTTCATAGAGACTTACCGTTCGACTCCCTACCAGAACGAACCTGAGGGTTTGCCGGTCTGAGGGAACGTCGACATCAGATCTGGCCCCGATTTCTCAAAACAAACTGAAGTCTGAGTTTTGACTTAAGTTAGAGTTTTTTACTCAAAATGCGTTTCCCAGAATGAACTGAAATCGATATCTTGATAAATGTTCTATGTTGGAGTGCCTGAGTATATCAACATGTCTTACTTGGCGCTTGTAAACATCAAAATGCAACATATGTATCTACGACATGGTCTGTGTTAAACGCAGCATTGACAAGCACACAATTTTGTTATTCTTCGTGCCGAGGTTTTTTGTTTACTGTGTCAGTAAATGAAATTAATGAAATATATATGTGTTTTCCAAAGTATAATTATTCCTGGTTATCTACCCACACACGAGGAAACAAGAGTACCAACTCGGCGTGTTTTTCTTGTTAGTAATACAGAAACTAATGATGTTTTGTAATTCAAGATGCTTGCAAACAAACTTGTATTAAAAATACAATCATAGGAAATACACATTAAACATGTATCCGCAGCATGTCAACAACTAGCAACTTTATGGCAGATCTATGTGTAGGGCTGGCTATCGATACAGATCATAGTGATCTATAATCGTTAACACATTATCGATTGATTGGCGATAAACTTATTGGAGACGTAACAAAGAGCTGTCTGAAGAAATTAATACCAGTTGTGACATCACTGGTGGGGTGGACATGTTATTGCATGAATTAATTAACAAAACAGTACCCTGGAGCCTAGATTATCTCAAGCGCTAAGATAGTCGGAAGTGCCATACATTAACATTAACTCACAACTATCTTGGCCGCTAAAGAGCTTCGAAAATCTAGGCCCTGAACATGAATTTAGAAACTGAGGTCCGCGTAAGTATCCATCTGTTCAGCAAAATGATTGATCTATATAATTGTTATGGACTAAGTACACTAAAGAAAATTATCCAAATTGTGTAATTTTATCAAAAATTGTCAAAATCAACTGTTAGTTAAACATAAAGCGAGCCACTACCAATGTATAATAGTGAATGAGAGTTTATGTTTTACATCACAAGGAACAATCTCTCAGCCATAACATGACGAGAAATTTAATGTAATTATTGGATATAGTATGAATAAAGAAGCCTGTATTTGATGGACAGTACTAGAATATCACAGATAGAATATGAAAACTGGCTGATAGCAGTTAAAGAAATATATTATTAATCAACAATACAATATAAAACAGGCTATTGATCTCCAACAACTGAAGGTAGATCCGCCATACTAGGGACCATGGGCACTTACGAGTACCTTTCCTACCTGCATGGACACAAGTTGGATTTTCACCATCCCTTCAGTCACTGGCGACAATTGATGAGTTAAGCCAAAATTTGAAGAACGAATATGCTTCATTTAAAAGCCTGGGCCTAGTTTTCGAAGCTCTTGAGTGGCGCTAAGGTAGTCGTAAGTTAATGTGAATGTATGGCGCTTACGACTATCTTAGCACTAGAAGCTTCGAAAATATAGATCTGGCTTGAATGTAGATGCTTCGAATGGAATGGGACTTACATACTCTCTTAATGGAACAATAAACCAATGTATACTAGCTCTCTGTATAGCCTAAGTATGAATTATGTATGGAGCCTTTAATACATATTTGTATTTGTACTCAGTATATCTATACACTGGAGTCAGATTTGTCTCTTCTTCAGACCCGTGAAGATCCGGGGTAGAATAGGTTGCCACAAAAGGCGACCCCATGCTTGTCGTAAGGGGCGACTAACGGGATCGGGTGGTCGGAAACTCGCTGACTTGGTTGACCACATGTCATCGGTTCCCAAGTGCGCAGATCGATGCTCATGCTGTCACTCACTCACTCTTCTTCCATGCATGAAATGAACTATAAATATGTGTAATCTTACCCGTCTCCCTTCAATCGTGAAGATCCGGGTTAAATTGATCTTCAGTAACCCATACTTGTCGTAGAGGCGACTAACGGGATCGGGTGGCCAGGTT